TATTTATAAATGGCTTTTCTCGTGCTGCAGACCACATCCAGTGATATCCTATTTTGTTCTACTTGAGTACCTAGGTATTTTTTACATGGTTCCAATGAGTCTGTTTGCATTACCCGAGCTAAAGGTTGATCTCACCATTAGTGTTTCAAATATAGACGGAAAGTGAGAAAAAAGATCCTTTAACTGAATCTCAAAAATTATATCCATCAGAAAATTTATTTGTTTATTTGTTTGAACAAGAGGCCCAGTCCCATTTCAGCAGTTCATATTAAGGGAAAATGATTTAGATTATTAAAGAATGTAATTTTAAAGTTGGATTTATATTAAGGACATACTTATCTGCGGCCTTAATGTCATTAGCGTGTTCTTATCACGCATTAAATTTGTTGTAGTGCTTTGCCATTACTCCTTAAAAAGTAGCGTTTTACCATAACGCATTAAAATTTTATTAGTGTTTTACATTAGGCATTACTAATTTAGATGTCTCTCATAAAAATGAGATTGATTCATTCATTAGTTTTCTACAGCTTATCAACCCATTTCAGCTTATTTAAAGCCAGAAAATGTTTTTAGATTGTAAGAAATATTTTAGATAATAATAATAATAATAATAATAACACACGTATTACTAATTAACCCATGGATGGAGAATAAGTTGTGTATGCATATTTTCCTAAGGGCATTTGAATATATAAATATAACGAATCGGACTGAAATTTGAACTCGCCACTCTGATTAATAACACAAAACTATTATCCATTACACCCATCGCACACCCAAGTTTACAACGATTGATATTCGCAAGTGGTCAAGGGTCAGGCTCAACCTAGTTTGTAATCACACGGAATTTTTATTATCACAACAAGAAATAGCTACGTATTCAATACGCTATGTACAAATGCTCTCTCTCTCTCTCTCTCTCTCTTTCTCCCCCCCATATATATATTGTTTTTTTTTTGTTTTTGTTTTTTTTTGTTTTGTTTTTTTTTTGGTGGTGGGGGGACTTAAGAGACACGACGAGTTTTTTTCGCCTTGTTCAGACGTTTCTAGTTCTTTCTTTTTTTTTCAATTTTTCTCCTCGGTTACCAGTTTGTTTTGATAACACTTGCAGGCTGTGCTATCCGAGGTTTTCTTTTTACTAATGAGTATAATTATTAGTATACTATATATATATATATATATATATATATATATATATATATATATTACCCTTACCCTTACCCCTTACCCATTCATATCTAGAGATAACATACGTTAAGTTAAACGATGTCTGGCCAACACCAAGTGGAGTTAGGGATAAAGAATTGAAATGGTACATCTAACTCACTCATGTCTTCTCTCCCCCCTCACTTCCTCACTTCTTTAATTTACAAAAATGTGTAAATTTCTTTTCATTTTTCATTTCAACATTTGGAAGTAAAGTCTGATTATCTAGAGCCCTTTAAAAGGGCTGTGGCGAAATAATTTATTACATGGAACCTTAAAGTGGTCTGTTTTTATTCAAACATATTTGCTCTGAATTTACATTGAGCTCTCTGGATATCATTACCTACTTTTGCATAATCTCTCTCTCTCTCTCTCTCTCTCTATCTATCTATCTATCTATCTATCTATCTATATATATATATATGTGTGTGTGTGTGTGTGTGTATGTGTGTGTGTGTGTGTGTGTGTTTCATGGGTGAAAACGATGGCAATATTGAAAACATGGGAATCCAAAATTTCAGGTCCGTATCCAACCCGGAATGTTTTTAATTTGCTCACGGAGTTGACCTGATTCCAAAATGGTATGATATGATATGCTGGGCTACGGCCTCTAGGAGTAAAGTTGAAAAGGTCTGACACAGTGACACACTGACATTCGCATTTTATTATATAGATGGTCAGAGCAGGGCGAATGAATACAGTTCCCGTATTACATTTACTTGAAGTTGATATGAAGGGCTCGGTGTATGAAACCGAATGAAAGGAAAGCATAATGGGCCGTAAGTAAATTGCATATCATAAAAGGGTTGTTTAAATAAGTGAAGCTTTTCTACAGGGTTGCTGCTACGCGATGATTTCTCTTCAATAATTGACTGAAAAATATGTTTCATCACATTTTTTAGTAATGCCTATGTCAGCATTCCTCATGCGTAAAAAAAGTAATTCTTAATATCATCGACAGGGGTCCAATTTGTATTTCGACAACTCAACCACTAAGAAGTTTGTTGAACTCAAAAAATTAAATCAGAATTGTTTTGTTACATTTTGGTGTCGCTCTGATTTTCTTTCTTTCGCTTTTTTTTTTTTTTTTTTTTTTTTTACCATAATGCCTCGGAATAATAATAGATTCCTGTCGGACAATATAGTCCGAAAGAAATCCATTATTTCGCCTGGTGGAGTCTCGTAATAAAATTGGATGCTCAGTTTACACTTAACAGGTGACGAGCGTTGACCTTGTGTCAAAATTTTCTACGTCAAGAAAAACGCTCGTGCGAATCTAACATGTTTCGTGTGAAACGCTAGTTGTGAAGCTATAACTTCGGAATCTATCGCCCTGACACTGTCACATCAAATAACTTTTTTTTTGCCGGCGTGACACTCATTGTAATATATATATATATTTTTTTAATCGAAATTCTGTTTCGACAATACTGCAGAGAAAATGAAAGATATGAAGCTCTCTTTTTCTCTCTTATGTCTTTCCTTGTTTTTTTCCTTCTTTTTTTTCGTTTATCGGATTAGTTTTCCATGTAAATAAATAAATAGAAGTAAAGAGCAGAGACTCAATTTATCAAAAGGACAAAAATAAAAATAAGGTTTATCGATAGAGTACTCAGAAAATATATTCGGAAGCGATTAAAAATGGCGGAAACAAACTAGAAATCAATTAATAAAAAAAAAAATAAAGCCATCAATGTGTTCATCTATGTGCCGAGCTTGGATACTACATATGGTGACGCATGTCATGGAAAATTCCATCGATCATCGAACTTCATTCAAACTGGTTACTCTCGTTTCGCTTATGATAAAAAAAAAATAAAGTTTGATCATGTTGAAATACGACAATGGCAATTTTTATTTCCTGATCTATAAGACAGCGTTAATCGACTTTCGAAATAACGGCTATCGATGATCTATGAAACCAATGAATCGAGTAAAAACATTAGAATCATCACGACGTTTTCATGAGATTAAAAACCCCGGAGAGCTAAAAGCTACACGAATAATTCTTTTTCCTATAGCTCACACCTGCCTCACACATAAACAGGCAGCTTCTTCTTCATGAGCAGTGTCCCTTGAGGACGTAGACGATCATTGCTCTCCACAATTTCCTGTCTTTTGTCGTTCTTATTAAAATTCTGTTCCGCCATCCATTTGCTCAAGGTTACTAAATAGGTTTTGTGTTGTTTTCCTTTGTCCCTTTTGCCTTCAATCTGACCTGTGAGTATCAAATTTACCAAGTCCCCTTTACTCATTATGTACCCTAGAAACTTTAACCGTCTCTTCCCGTCCATTATAGCCCTTAATATATGTTCACTTCTTTATTTTTCCTAAACCCTGTTCTGCCATCTATTTACACAAGATCGCGAAGTTGATTTTTCGTTGTTTTTCTGTCACTCTTCCAATCAATCTGTTCTGTGAGTATCAGATTTTCCAAGCCTTCTTTACTCACTGTGCCCCAGAAATTTCACCTGATCTTCCAAATGTTAAAAATCCTTTTTGTTTCCATTTTCTCTAAAATCGCGTTGCTGCTCACATATTCTGTCTATGTTATCTTCAATAACCTTCTGTAGAAACAAATATATGTTGCTTCGTCTCTTCTTCATCTTTGAGAAGATTGACCAGCATTCACTGCTATGAAGGAGCACAGATATCACGTATTGTCTTCGTTTCTAGCGAAATGTCCCTCCTTCTTTGTACTCTGCTTAGCTTTTGGAATACATCTTTGGTTATCCCAGTGTGGTTTCTATTAGAACAATTCACAGGTATTTAAATTGTTATATTTGTTTGATTTTGGTATCTCGAACTTGTAATTTGGTCTTTTGCCAATTAACATGTATTCTGTCTTCTTGCAAATGATGTTAAACATTTTACTCGCTTTCCTTATCTACCTTTTATAGGAGATTTTGTAGTTTTCTTTCGGTCAACTGTTTGTCATTTGCATGCATTTCCAAAATCAACATTCAGATGTTTTGTCATACAAACACTGAGATAAGCACGTTGGTTGAACAGAGTGCCTTTAATCAGACCTAAAAAAACACACACACTATTGAATATGCTATATCTGAGTGTGAAAGCTGAAACATGACTCAGCTAGGATATTGGTTATTAAAAGGGCTTCGCTGTCAATCAATAACGAAGTTCTTTCCTGACAAGCGGGTTCAGGCATATCGTTATTTTAATCGACTTCGATGTGTTCAGGACTGTTTTGTCATTGTTGACAATGTGAAACTCGCGAACAGACACAATCCTGCGACAGGGTTCGAACCTGTACCCTATACGGAACCATCATTTAGCTTGACGTGCCTTTAACCGATCTGGCCACAGAGGAGCGTTCGGTTCAAATTTACTGTATTTGAACTTCAATCTTCTATGAATCTCTCACGTACATTCATATCTGCTCATAGCGTATCAAATGTAAACAAATGTGGCCAAATCGGTTAAAGGCACGCCAAGCTAAATGACGGTTCCGTATAGGATACAGGTTCGAATCCTGTGGGAGGACGAATATTTTCTGTGAAAATTTCTCGGACATTCAGGTCGGTATATGTTGTTTTTTTCTCATTGTGCATCTGTGTTTGCATTCTGTGAGAAAAAAAAACTTGAATCAATGACAAGTGCATATAAAAGAGAAAAATCGAAAGGCAAAAGTGGCCAACTCCTGATAGCTTCTAATAATTAGACGGATGGGACAGGTTACGAAATTCTCGAGTCGGGATGCGGAAGGTAACACCAAACCGCTAAGTGAAAGTAATTATATATATATATATATATATATATATATATATATATATATATATAAACTGATTTAAAATATGGTTTTTCTAACCTCGTTTCAAAAATGGAAGCTAAAAGATTCGAATTTAATTTTGTAATTAAATTAAAGACATTAATTCCATTTCATCCTCAAGCGAATTTTGGAGTAACTTATTTTTAAATTTACTTGGTTTTAAAGAGACAGCAAAAAAATCATAATTTACTGTTTCCAAGGATACGGAGGAATCCATTCATCCAGACAAGGGGTGGTTGCGTGTCCATTTTCATTAACTGTTGTTGTATCAGTTATTAGTTACGTATGAAAAAGGGTTATGTTTAGGTAGGGGGTAGGGATGTATTTTTCAACGAATTCTGACATCCGTTAAATGCATGTCGTTTGAATTTTTTTTTAATTTTATTGTTAACGGCAAAAATTCTTACGGTTTTTTTTTTCCTTTTGAATACGTAAAGATTTTTTTAGGGATGTTTAGGCTAGAATACGTTTTATTAACTACAATTTTAAAACATTTTCACATTTAATTTTTAATAGACTATATTTCTATTTAGCTTCCATTTTTGAAACATGGTTAGAACTGTGTAGCGAAAAACCATATTTTAAATCAGTTAATTTATAATATTACTGTTCGGTAAATTTACATTGAGCACCATTGTGTAAAATTAAAAAAAAAATATCTGTAACATCACCGGATTATATATCTTACTGTTATATATATATATATATATATATATATATATATATATATATATATATATATATATATATATATACACACACACACATATATATAAAATTATTTATTTAAAAATATGATTCCAACGCTACATAAGAGTTCTTGGAATCATATTTTTAAATAAATAATTATATTTATGTTCAATAAATACTTCAATAAATACTATAAAAATAGTGCTCGATACAAAAGTATCGAGCACTATTTTTAAAATAATAACAAAAAATACTAAAGAACTTTAGATTATTTAACTAACGAGTTCTTTCCTATTTTCTAAATATTTTTACACACACACACACATACACACACACATATATATATATATGTGTGAAAAGTGTATATAAATATAAATAAATATATATATGTATAATTATTTATATATTATATGCATGGTACTTATTAGAAAGCGCTCAATATCAGAGCTAGAGCTAACATATTTGGTTGGATAGATGTGAGTTTGTGACCCTGGGTTTCACGCTTTAGCGATCGTCAGGTCACAAACTCACATCTATCAACTAAATATATATATATATATATATATATATAGCATGAATAGATGTGAGGAAGAAAACGAAGTGGAGATGGAGGAGTGTTTTACACAAATTGCAGTTGTTATAATTACTTCCTCAATACTGTGGTATCTGAATCAATTTCTTTAGTTAAATAAGGTTCTCATTGAGCAGCACAAATTCTTTATTCGATATTTACTTTTCCTGTTGCGTTCGCTCTGTCGATGATAGAGAGTAAGATCAATCCAGAATTCTGATTACCCCCCGATCGTATTTTAACAAATATCTGAAAATTGAGTACATTTTATCTACAGCAATTTATTTCATTACACGTCCGTGAAACTGAAGATCATTAAATCACCAATAAACACACACGCACGTCCAATTATACATACATACACGCACAAATATATATATATATATATATATATATATATATATATATATATATATATATATATATATATATATATATATATATATATATATGTATATAAATAAAAAAGAAAGAACAGTAAGATATAAAATCCGGTGTTCTTATAGATATTTTATTTTTACAAAATAGTGCTCAATGTAAATTTACAGAGCATTAATATTATAAATTAATTGATTTAAAATATGGTTATTTTCGCTACATATATATATTTAAAATATGGTTATTTTCGCTATATATATATATATATTACCGCTCACCGTTCGCACGACTAGGAGTTGTATACACAAGGCAATCTCCAGGCGGTGGGGAGAGACTGAATTCTAATAAAAATGTATCGTTAATGCATGAAACTCCGAGTCATGCAACCGTTAAGAATAATACATACATACATACATACATACATACATACATACATATATATATATATATATATATATATATATATATATATATATATATATATATTAGCTCTATTATATTGCATCAATCACTATTTTATTAACACCAGCACTCAAGGTGCGATATATATATATATATATATATATATATATATATATATATATATATGTTGCGGCGCTAAGCAGGTTGACTGTTAACCCCGCAAACGGAAAAATAATATAAGATAATACGATCGAAGCAAGGACAACAAAAACGAGGATGTAAAAGTTTAAGCCAAATTTTATTAAATAAATTTGGCACGAATATATACAGATAATCGTTTGTAGTAGTTCGGTCGTGTAGTCTTGGAGGAGTGTTGTCAGGTCTCAAGGCGACAGCTTGGAGGTAGGCCGAATGGAACCAGCGATGTTCTAGGTCCAGTCGATCCCTGGATGTCTGTACTTGCAGAGAGAGAGGATCGACGCGGACAGTGCTGTGGTGTAGTCAGTTCGTCCTTGGGTGGAGTGTCGCGCAGGATCGCAGCTTGGTAGTCCTAATAAAAGGACGCGGCTAGGTTAGTCCTGAAAAGGACTATTGCATATTATGTAATCGAGGGCAGACTATTGCATATCATGTAACCGAGGATAGGCTAGTGCATATCATGTAGCCGAGGATAGGCTAGTGCATATCATGTAACCGAGGATAGGCTAGTGCATATCATGTAGCCGAGGATAGGCTAGTGCATATCATGTAACCGAGGATAGGCTAGTGCATATCATGTAGCCGAGGATAGGCTAGTGCATATCATGTAGCCGAGGAAAGGCTAGTGCATATCATGTAACCGAGGATAGGCTGCTGCTGATATCTGCGTCGCTGCTGCTGACGATGAAGCTGGACTGCTCTGCTGGCTCTGAGGAGGAGGCTGCTGCTGGCTGCTGCTGATGATGAGGAGGAGGCCGGACTGCTCTGCTGGCTCTAGCTGCTGCTGATGAGGAGGAGCTGCTGGACTGGACTGCTGCTGGCTCTAGCTGCTGCTGATGAGGAGGAGGAGGCCGGACTGCTCTGCTGGCTCTAGCTGCTGCTGATGTCTGCTGGCTCTTGGCTGCTGCTGCTTCGTGTGGTCAGCGTGTGGTCAGAGAGGGGGAGCTCGTCGCTCAACCCCGAGGCCAAAAAATCAGCCGAGAAGATTAATTTGGTGGAAAAAAAAATCCGCTGTGTATATATAGGCTGAGGTCGGCAACGTAGCCTGTCAGCGATATATTTGGGTGATGACTGAAAATTACCTTCTACTTTTGGCTGTACACATGGATTCCATTCGGACACCATGTGTATATAAAGTAGTTTCTGGTAATTGTTTTTGGTTAGGAAAGTTAGTATATGTAAATGTTTCGTTTTTTTTAGTTTGTGTGAGACGTTGACTGAAAAACGCTTAGTCACCGGAAGTTAACGGCATTCGTTATGTTTTCCGCGGTGACGCTTTTAGATGTTTGAGTAGCCGGCAGTAACTTCCGGCCGGGTGCGATAAGGCCCCCTCCTAGAGGATTGATCGTGATCAATTCACAAAAAAATGTAAGTCTTTAGTTTGGCAGGAAAATGAACTCTTCTGCCTGATTTTGTTCGTACGACTGGTGTTGTTGTTTCATCTTCCGTCGTTGTTGGTAAGTCTGGCTCGGGAGAAGTTTCCTCTAACCAAGCTGGTTTAAGTCGGTCGATGGAGACTGTATCTTTGTTTTTGCCGCGCATGATCGTGACAAATTTCTTAGAACGCTTCAGAACTTTGAAAGGGCCTTGGTAGCTAGGTGTGAGAGGTTTTTTACGGCGTCGTTCTAACAAAAACAAAATCGCAGGTATCCAATTTCTGTGGTAAGTAGGAGCTTGTGTTTTTGTTTTCGTGGGGAGTGTATGTAAGTTTGTCCATTTTGTGGCGCAGATCTTGCACGAAAGAACTTGGTGGGATGTGCAAGAGTACTGCGGAAGGTGAAAATATTGCCCTGGTAAGGAGAGAGGCGTGCCAAACACGAGCTCTGCTGTCGAACACCCTAAATCCGTTTTGAGGGTATTCCGCAAAGAGAGCATGGTCATGGGGAGGTTGTCGACCCAGTTGTGTATGTCGAGTTTGGTTGACAGGGACGTCTTTAAGGATCGGTGAAATCTCTCCACGAGGCCGTTTGCGCAAGGATGGTAAGCCGTCGTTTTAATGTGTCTGACACCCAAAAGTTGAGAGAATTCTCGGAAAAGCGAGGACTGAAATTGTGGTCCCCGATCTGTAGTGAGAACTTGTGGTACGCCAAAGTTAGTAATCCAGTTGGTGAGAATGGCTTTAGAAACTGTGGTAGCGGAAATGTCCTTAATCGGCACAGCGACTGGCCATCTCGAAAAACGGTCTATGATTGTTAGAAGGTATTGGTACCCCTGGCACATTGGTAGAGGCCCGACGAGGTCAACGTGGATGTGGCTGAAACGTGCGTCGGGTGTGGCGAATGTTCCAACTGGTGATTTTGTGTGCCTCTGAATTTTGCATTTCTGACATTGTATGCAGGTTGAGACCCAATTCCTAATGTCTGAATTCATGTTGGGCCACACAAATCGATCGGCGATAAGTTGACGGTTGCTCGCTTGCTCGGATGGGATAGATTGTGAGATGGAGAAATACTTTTTTCTAAGAGATGGAGGAATGTACGGTCTCGGAGTATCCAGTGCGGTGTCACAGAAAAGAGTTTTATCGCTGAACGGACACGGGAATTCCTGCAGTTTCAAAGAAGTCTCCTTAATGATGTCAGGTATCGTCGTATCGTCTTTTTGTTTGTCGGCTATCAGCTCCTGGCTCCAAACATCGTTATCCATGGTATTGACGTCTGTTCTGGACAATGTGTCTGCGACGGTGTTGTTCTTTCCTTGGACGTGTCTGATGTCCGTCGTAAACTGTGAGATGTAGTCGAGGTGACGTGTTTCACGGGATGTATACTTGTCTGCGCTGACATTCATCGCGTTGATCAGTGGTTTGTGATCCGTGAAGATAGTGAAATGTCTGCCTTCCAGAAGATGTCGAAAATGACGTATGGACAGGTAGATCGCCAGGAGTTCTCGTGAGAAGGTACTGTATCTTCTCTGGGCTGCAGAGAGTTTAGCTGAGAAGAAGGCTATCGGCTGTCTCGTCATGTTCACTTGCTGCTCCACTACTGCTCCTATTCCAACGTCGGAAGCGTCTGTTGTAAGGAAAATTCTTGTTTCCGGGTCGTTTTCGATGAATGAGAGTTTTGTGAAGTTTATCAGCGCTGTCTTTGCCGTTTCGAAAGCCCGCAAGGTATCTCCCTCTAGGATAATTTGTTTGTTCTTCCGCTCTATGATGTTTGTTAACGGGGAGAGAATTGTCGAGCAGTTGGGGATGAACCTGCGGTAAAATTTATCATACCGATAAATCGTCTGATTTGCTTTGTGGATGTCGGCGTAGGGAAGTTTTGTATCGCGTCGACTTTCTCGGGTAATGGTGTGATACCGTCCTTGTCGATATGATGGCCTAAGAAGTTCACCTCAGATGCCCCGAAAGTGCATTTGTCCATGTTCAGCCGGAGTCCATAAAGTGCTATTCTTTGGAACACTTCGTTTAGATGTTTTTTGTGTGTTTCTCATCTATGCTGGCTACCAGTATGTCGTCGATGTAGGCATACGCGTACGTTAAGGCCGCGAAGTACCTCATCTATGAAGCGTTGGAACGTTTGTGCAGCATTCCTCAGGCCAAAGGGCATCTTGAGGTATTCAAAGAGACCAAAGGGAGTGGTTACGGCTGTCTTTGGAATGTCCTCCGGAGCTATGGGGATCTGGTGGTAGGCCTTAGTTAGGTCTATCTTCGAAAAGACGCGAGTGCCCTGCAACCCTGAGGCGAAATCGTGAATATGCGGGACCGGATAGCGATCGGGTATGGTTGTAGCGTTTAATCTTCTATAATCGACGCATACCCTAAAGTCTGTGCTTCCCGGCTTAGGTACGAGATGTAGGGGTGAGGCGTATGGGCTATCGGAGGGTCGTATAAATCCGTCCTGCAGCATGTTGTTAAACTCCTTTTGGGCGTATTCCAGCTTATGAGGAGGAAGTCGTCGTGGGTGGGAAAAAGTAGGCTGTCCACTGGTCTTTATATGGTGCTGTGTTTGGTGTCTTGCCGGACCGGTACCTGCGAGTGGTTGAATGAGGTCCGAGTATCTGTTTAGGATCTCGATGTACTCTCGTCCGTGGCAAGTTGTCACACTGATTCCAGTGGTGTTGTGTCGAGAGAGGGTGCCTTTAACAGCAATGTTCGTGGTATTGTCTGATAAAGTTCTCGTATTCATGTGCACGGCTAGATCATAATGGGCCAGGAAATCTGCACCGAGTATTGGCGTTTTTACGTCTGCCTGGGTGAAAGTCCATGTAAAATCGCGCCGCATACCGATGTTCAGAGTCAGTGTCTTGGCTCCATATGTCTCGATCGTCGAGCCGTTTGCTGCCTGGAGTTTATACGGGGTCGCCTTTCGGTCTTGCTGTTCTTTGGGGGGTATAACGCTGATAGCTGCTCCCGTGTCCACTAGAAACTTTATGTTGTTCCGTCGGTCCCATACGTAGAAAAGGCGGCTTCGTATGTTTTTGCCGGGGGTTCTGCCGCTCCTACCCGCCGGCTGTTTAGTTTTCCGACTTGGTTTTGGAGCTGTATTTGCAGGGTGCCGAGCAATTCTTTGCCCTGGTGCCGAATCTGTGATGGTACCAGCATAATTCCGGGTCGACTCGTCGACCCCTGCTGGTACTCCGTGCTCTCCGTCGCCAACCGCCGGTCGCCGGCATTGGGCCTCTCGATGTGCGGGAAAGGAGCATTCGTATATCCTGCAGCTGATGCTGCAGGTCAGCTACTGCCTTTTCCAGGTCTGTTTCTTTGGCTGATGTGTCGTCTGGGCGTTGCACGGCACACACTCCTTGGTCCAGTTTAGTTGCGATGCGGTCAGCGGAGTTTGCTAACTGGTCCAGTGGAGTGTTATCAGCGATTGGTGCCAATATCTGCGTTATGGTAGTGGGTAACTTGTCCATCCACAGTTCGCGCAAGATTGATTCGGCCATGGAATGTTTCCCCAGTCGGCTCCTCATGAAGCGTAGAAGCTGTGAGGGTGTTCTGTCGCCCCTGGTGACGTGGGTAAAAAGTTCCCGGAGCAGTTCCTCGTCCGAACGGCCGGTTCGTTTCAGAATAGCCTCCTTGAGGCGAGTATATGGCTCCTGCTCGGGTACGTGTTCCAAGATGTCGGCTACTTCGTCGACAACTGAAGGTGGCAAAACTTGTACCACGTTGACGAATTTTGCTTGTTGTGATGTGATTTTCCGTACCGAGAAAATGGCTTCCAGCTGTAAAAACCAGTTCTTGGTGTTCTGCTCGTTGTACGGAGGGAGGTTTGTGAGTGGCATTGCCACATTTATGAGAGTGTTCTGTTCCCACTCGTCAGTTGCCATCTTGCTCGATCGTAAATATCGGGTCACCACTTGTTGCGGCGCTAAGCAGGTTGACTGTTAACCCCGCAAACGGAAAAATAATATAAGATAATACGATCGAAGCAAGGACAACAAAACGAGGATGTAAAAAGTTTAAGCCAAATTTTATTAAATAAATTTGGCACGAATATATACAGATAATCGTTTGTAGTAGTTCGGTCGTGTAGTCTTGGAGGAGTGTTGTCAGGTCTCAAGGCGACAGCTTGGAGGTAGGCCGAATGGAACCAGCGATGTTCTAGGTCCAGTCGATCCCTGGATGTCTGTACTTGCAGAGAGAGAGGATCGACGCGGACAGTGCTGTGGTGTAGTCAGTTCGTCCTTGGGTGGAGTGTCGCGCAGGATCGCAGCTTGGTAGTCCTAATAAAAGGACGCGGCTAGGTTAGTCCTGAAAAGACTATTGCATATTATGTAATCGAGGGCAGACTATTGCATATCATGTAACCGAGGATAGGCTAGTGCATATCATGTAGCCGAGGATAGGCTAGTGCATATCATGTAACCGAGGATAGGCTAGTGCATATCATGTAGCCGAGGATAGGCTAGTGCATATCATGTAACCGAGGATAGGCTAGTGCATATCATGTAGCCGAGGATAGGCTAGTGCATATCATGTAGCCGAGGAAAGGCTAGTGCATATCATGTAACCGAGGATAGGCTGCTGCTGATATCTGCGTCGCTGCTGCTGACGATGAAGCTGGACTGCTCTGCTGGCTCTAGCTGCTGCTGCTGCTGCTGATGAGGAGGAGGCCGGACTGCTCTGCTGGCTCTAGCTGCTGCTGATGAGGAGGAGGCCGGACTGCTCTGCTGGCTCTAGCTGCTGCTGATGTCTGCTGGCCTTGGCTGCTGCTGCTTCGTGTGGTCAGCGTAGGTGAGAGGGGGGAGCTCGTCGCTCAACCCCGAGGCCAAAAATCAGCCGAGAAGATTAATTTGGTGGAAAAAATCCGCTGTGTATATATAGGCTGAGGTCGGCAACGTAGCCTGTCAGCGATATATTTGGGGTGATGACTGAAAATTACCTTCTACTTTTTTATTGTACACATGGATTCCATTCGGACACCATGTGTATATAAAGTAGTTTCTGGTAATTGTTTTTGGTTAGGAAAGTTAGTATATGTAAATGTTTCGTTTTTTCTTAGTTTGTGTGAGACGTTGACTGAAAAACGCTTAGTCACCGGAAGTTAACGGCATTCGTTATGTTTTCCGCGGTGACGCTTTTAGATGTTTGAGTAGCCGGCAGTAACTTCCGGCCGGGTGCGATATATATATATATATATGTATGTATGTGTGTGTGTGTGTGTGTGTATTATGCAGGGTTACATTAGTACATACCCACTACAAAGCTAGACATCTTGTTACAACTTAAAAAAAAATATTTTATAACGTTTCATCAGATGGGAAATCATTATGCTACAGCAAAAAATATTTTTTTACCGCCGAAAGAAGATGTACAGTTTTATAGTGGGTATGTACATATACTCTTTTAAAATTAATGTTTTGAACGCTGAAATCTTAATTTTCGTTCTTTTTACATTTATATATATATATATATATATATATATATATATATATATATATATGTATGTGTGTGTGTGTGTAAATGGATGAATTAATTAGTTTATATATATGCGTACCTACATTTTTAGCGTACGATTATAGTTACCCTGGGAAACTTTGCCAGCACACACGTACACGCCTGCTTATATTTGGCCTTTTCATTTATCCACACTACAGCTAATATATATATATATATATATATATATATATATATATATATATATATATATAATAAAAAAAAGGCTTAAACACTAATATTCCATGGTCATAATTTATTCCATTGAATCGTAAATACGTAAATATGTATGTGTATATTTACCACTAATATTATCTATCTATCTATCTATCTATCTATCTATATATATATATATATATATATATGTGTGTGTGTGTGATGGCCCAAATTAGGCGTTAAGATGATTACTTGAGCCATCATGATTTACTACCTCAAATGGAGGAGAGTGCCTAATAGACGATAGTTTGTCACGTGTCTTTTACTCTTTCTTTTTCTAAATACTGGAAATAAATATTCTTTTTGATTGATCTTGTGGAGGAATTTTCAAAATACGCGTGAGCTGAGTGTGACTACCTTACACAAGACGATGACACGCGCAATATAAATGTGACCATAACTAAGGCGATCAGTGGAAAGTGCGTGTTAGGTTCGGGTACAGAGGATTCAACAGAATGTGGGATTCAACATAAGCGTGCAAGGAAATTACTCAGATTACATCGGATTTACATGATGTGATTCGCCGTCCAGCGCTCGGGAATGTGATTACCGAGTTTTGCATGGTTCAATAGTCATTGCACATTTTTCCGGTCAAGAATAGCAGGAGATCCCCAGTAAATACATAGGTATGTGATAATACATACATATATACATACATCCGTGATAATGATATATATATATTATATATGAAGAAAAAGCATTGGGGAAATTGTATGACAAAATGGAAAAAAAAAAGGTAACTTGTGACGTGTTTCTACATTCAGGACTTCATCGGACTCAATTTGTTGGTAAGCAGTACACATGCACACAACAGAGGGGTGCTGGGTATTTTAGAATTTTTATTTTTCTTCTTCCTCTTTTTTTTTCTTTTTCTTTGCATCACTTTTGTAAGTAGGTATTCTACACTGTGATATTAGATCTGCCCGGGAAGGTGAAATTTCGTTAAAATAATAAAAAATTACAAACTCATCACCAATGAATGTTATTTCACATTTAATAAAGATTGTTACAAACAAAAATTTGGATTACCAATGAGATCGCCTCTCAGCGGATTGATGGCATGTATCTTCTTAGAATTTCTCGAATCCAGTTGTGTCCAAAATATTTCCCAATCAACTTACTTTCGTTATATAGATGATGCTCTCCTCATATAACTTAGTGATAATGATTTACCCGACTTGTAAATCAACTAAAATTCGATAAACACAATGGAATTCATATATGAAATGGAAGAACACAATTCCTCACCCTTCCTAGATATCAGCTACACCTCGTTAACAAGAGTTTAAAACTCGATGATCACCGGAAACAAACCAACAAAAACGACCTAATACATATACAGACACACACACACACACACACACACACACACACACACACACACACACACATACATACATATATATATATATATATATATATATATATATATATATATATATATATTAAGAAATGGACAAAGTCCGACAATTTATTAAGGACATTTTTATGTTTAACATTCTTTTTTATAGATACAAGTATTTAAGTAAATGCTCTGTTTATAATAAACAGTATTAAACAACATTTACCGGCCTGAATGTCCGAGAAATTTTCATAGAAAATATTCGTCCTTTGACAGGATTCGAACCTGCATCCTATAGGGAACTTTTGTGGCTGAATGGTTAGGCACATCAAGCTAAATGACGGTTCCGTATAGGATGCAGGTTCGAATCCTGTCACAGGACGAATATTTTCGATGAAAATTTCTCGGACATTCAGGCCGGTAAATTTTATTTAATACTGTTTATTATAAACAGAGCATTTACTTAAATACTTGTATCTATAAAAGAATGTTAAACATAAAAAAAATAATATATATATATATATATATATATATATATATATAAACAAAAAAAACAACACTCAGTAATATGAACTATGACCAAGGACACAATATCTTGACCGTGTTTTGAAAAATGAAAACTTTATATGAAATACATACAGACAACAATCTCATTTCTTATGAAGTGTTAATATACTTAAACTTTGAAAATGAAGGCACGTTGAGACACTATTGGAACTCAAATTTGCAACTGACCTCAAGTGAAACTCATACATACGATTGAGTTGTAAGGATGCATATAAAATAATCGGCTTCCTGTACCGACCCTGCTACAAGATCTAGCAAAAAATGTAGTACTCTTCTTATATTTGGTCAAGACGGCCTAGACTACATTTCCCAGTCTTGACAGAGTCCCAAATCAAAATCATCTTCAAACCCTTGTGGGTGACGAATTATTATCCATCCTACAAGCTCTCTGTTATAGGCGGGATGGAGCATACCTCTTGCTATATATATATATATATATATATATATATATATATATATAAATTCATGAATCGTTCATACAAAAAACAAATATAGAGGTTAATGATTTAATGGCGAGAATACTTCGTTGCAAACAATATCAATAAGATACACCAACCCCGAACCTGTATATGAATGATATGATCCCTGTTTATAAATTCCAGTTGCATAGGGTCTTTTTAATTTTTTACAAGCTTTCGTCTGTTCCTACAGACATCATCAAGTATGGAAGTAGATTTTGTTCTTGTTTTTATTCTCGGTAGTAAGAGGACAACGAAAATAAAGATGTAACCCACAAAATGTACTTTCGAAAGTACTTGCATTTAAAAAAAATATAAACTGGAAACAACAGACAACAGTTTTATAAATGAGGAGCACATCACTCTATGGATTAACAGTATTTTAATGCATACATTATATACTACTAGCGATGGATGTCGCCAATAATACCATTAATATTATTGATTGATTCTGTGTTATTATTTTTTGTATATATATATATATATATATATATATATATATATATATATATATATGTGTGTGTGTGTGTGTGTGTGCGTGTGTGTGTGTGTGAAAGAGAGAGAAAGAGAGAGAGAGCGTTGATCATCAGGGTAAAACCTGATGATCCGTCAGAGAAGCCTGGGTAGGTAGGCAGGTATGTTTCGTTTTACTGTATATATATATATATATATATATATATGTATGTGTGTGTGTGTGTGAGAGAGAGAGAGAGAGCGAGAGAGAGAGAGAGAGAGCGAGCGTTGATCATCAGGGTAAAACCTGATGATCCGTCAGGATATGCCTGGGTAGGCAGGTAAGTTCTGTTTT